TATCACGACCAGCCTGATGGAACAAACATATCAATCAGTTTGCAGGTGGAATTCACTTAATCTTTATCTACGATTCGCTGTTCGCTGTTATAGTTCTGTCAATATTGACTGGCATGTCCCACTGATATGATGGTGATGTTGCTGTCTATATTGTGCATCACAGTCTCTGGCTCATGTTGGTACCATTTGTCTGTAATCTCGATATCATGATCTTTACAGATGTTCCAATGGAGATATGCTGCAGCATTATTGTGCCTGGAGATGTACTCTTCTTTTTATTAATATTAATATTATTATTATTATTATTATTATTACCATTTTTATTATTATCATTTTTATCAATATTACTATTACCATCATTACTATTTTTTATTTTCTACTTTTGGTTTGTTTTTTTCCATTACTTTTTTATGGCTTTACAGATGCCTAATCGCTGAAAGGAAAGCAAAAAAGAACAAAGCTCCGTTGACGGACAGACTCATGGCACAAGCTCTTGCTCTTCAAATGGAATAGAATGCAAAATGGTTGTGTATGAAAATATGAATTTTAAGCTCACCTCGCCAATACTTCTGTTAGCCAGAACACAACAGAAAGAAACTCTTAATGAATTAATTTTTGACGCCAACACCTGGCAGCTTCTTGCAGCCGGGCTATTCTATTTGGTTTTCTCGGCAAGCTATGACCTACACGCTTTTCCTTCACGAAGAGTTTACTGAAAAGGAGAACCGATTTTCCTATGGATATATTGGCTTGGGATCAGGTCGTGAATAAAAACTTGAGAGTACCTCAAGGTGTTTTACCGCATCCTCGTTCAACAGTGCCAAGACTAAACGTATTCTGTAAATGTTTGCTCGAAAAAGTTAGCTCGAATAATTAGTGTAGGTAATTGCATGGGGCAGAATAAAATTAAAGATTGATATCAAGCGTGTTTTAAGAAGTTGCAGAAATTGCCTGTGACGTGGGCAATTGTGATATTATTGCGTGATTTTACAAGGGAACTTGCGATCACTAGTTTATGATATTATGGGCAGAATTTTATGGCAATAAGAGTTCAAAAACCGCACGCTGTTGTGTGAGTCTATAGGAAGCCATTTCAGTGTTTGGATAGCATCAAGGAACTATAGAACGCGCAAATTAGCTAGGAAAAAATCTATATGTATCACTTAAACTACGGTGTTATACAAGGATTTCCAGCGGTGAGAAAAGCCGTAACAACACACGTAAAAAAATTTGAGATTTTTACACTTGTGTTTGATATCGCCAATCAGGTGCTGACACGTTACTCTCCTTTTGCGCCACTCGGTCAGGTTGATGAATGAACAGCAAATCCTCGCCATTCTCAATCCAAGGTCGTTTGTCGGAATTTTTTCGGATTATGGCCGCTATAGCTTACAGACAGTGACCTTTCTAGAGGGGAAAAAACCAAAATACGAACATAAAAACCGAAAGTTACGCATTTAGTGGTTTTGGTAATGGCATTTCTCGCCGCTGAGAACGAAAATCGAGTGCTGGAAGATTTGCTACAGGCCGACTTTGGCTGTGTACCCAAAAGACGTCTATCGATAAGGACAAAGTCAATAACTGAGAATTTTGTATATTGAAAACTACGCCTATTTTGTTTTTGTAGTGATCCAACGCATTTTTTCATTTTGAGCCTTAGCGTCGACGCACTTTACAAAGCCGGCATCGGGAAACCCGAACGATGTATTTCTATCTAAAATGCATCTTTCCGTGGGTTATTTACCTGAAGAAGAGTCGTGAGGAGATCAGAAGTATGTATCCTCGACGTGGATTTTGGACCACTCGATTTAGCACGAGAAATATACAATCCGACTCGGACGGAAGTGACGATACCCAAGGCAATAGGGCCGAAATTATATGTGGTCTTGACTGCGTAGACGCTGGAGAAGACGCGAGCCCTTTCGACGTGCAAGACAGAGTGCGCAGATGAATGTTAATATTAAGATTGTTTGAAACCCAAATGATTTTTCCTTCGTTAAAAGGCGAGTTCAATTGATGGACGTCGAGCTCTTCGATCAGTTTCTTGCAACTGAAGAACGATTAGGATTCCTCGCCTCAGGTTGGTTTTCAACTCAAGAAGTTCAAAAGAGAGCTGCATATATTGTTGTAATTCTAGAAATATTGACTCAAACTTAGAAGGACTTGAACTTGAAAAGCGTATACAGTCATTTACTATCGTTCAACCGGAACTTACCGATATGTGGATCTATCTTTTTTTTGTTGTTGTTATTTTTTCGATGACAAAGGCGGAAAGATTGAATGAGCATGACAATAGCTTAAAAGACGCGTTCTAAGCTATTCGCTCCGCTGAGTAAGAAATATTCAAACGGGATTAAGCTCGATTCTTATTGAATTATGAAACATAAACCATGCTATTTTCCCTTCTATTATAGTGGTCGTATCAAATGAGTTCAAGTCGCGGCTCTATATCCGATGAATGGTTGCACATCGGGGCAAAGCAGTAAACCATTTAAGCGCGTAAAGTTTTTAAAGCTTTTTAAAGAAGGCGATCACTTTGAAGAAGTAATTGACCCTTTTATCTTCTATTAGCCTTGGAAACTTCCTTTGTTACAAAACACAATTAATAAAGTCTTTTTAACCTCAACACAATGGCTGCGTGACCCACGCGCAAGAGATAATCCGTGTTGTTAAGAGCTGGTTTTTTTAGCGCCATGGTAACGTGACTGGCCTGAACTGGGCCAATATTAGCAAAAGTTCATTAGAAATCCAATATTTTAAGCAACCAATATACATAATCACTAATTCGTCAGCTGAGGTTTAGAATTTCAGGTGTTCGGTCGACGAATGATATGAGCAAACAGAGGGAGAAGTGTAAGGTATGCATAAATAGTTCTTAAATTGACTGTCCGTGACTGTAATTTGGTAATCACTGCCTTACTTCGATGAAAATTGAAAATTGAAGACAGTTATTTTACTAATCAGCGTAGGTTTCAAAGGTCATAAATAGTAAAGGGCTGGATCAATTTTGCGAAGCATCCGCGGGAAGATACTGGTTAGGGGGCTTCTTTCATGACAAACGTGAGCAAGTGATTCTTTACGTCAGTGAGAAATAAAGAACCCATGCTAGTCCGCATGCTATGTAAACTCAAGCTTGTTACTTATAAGCAATTCGGCTTTTAATGAGCACAACGGATTAAAACTTGAATCGCTTTTAAATTTGTACCAGAAAGCTATTTTTTCCTCTCTAAATTCTACATCAAACGTTAAAAACATTGATCGTGCGTCTCTCATTTAGAGAGCAAATGAATCAACATGATCCCTGTTTCATTCAAAACGTGACTATGAAGTGCATCGTATTGACTCGTTCGTGATTAGAAGACAAAACCTCTAATTCCTTCACTTCCCAATATAATAAAGTGACGAATTGTTCCTCCTAATTACGAGAGCAAAAAAAAAATAACATAATTTCTGTTTCGTTCAAAACGTGACTATGGAGTGCAACGTGTATTCACTCATTCGTGATAAAGTGAAATTTCATTAGTCCTCGATCGAGTGACGAATTATTTATAGAAAACGCCGGCAAAAGTAGTTCTGGATTGAAGATCGGTTCACAATGACTCACGGAGAACTCTCAGGTACCTATACTTTCTTACATTCAGTGTATAACTTAACTGCTTAGTTTGAAGCTGAGGCTTTAAGACCGGTTTCATAGAGTTAACATAAGTTTCATTAAGAGATTAATGGCCTCATTATTTTCGCTTGGTTTCATCGATCACGAAAATCACAATCGAACATCGCTATTCTAAATCAGCGATAAAAAGAGATCTATTATGATGACGGTGTTGTAATTATGACGTCTTTGCTTCAACAAAGTATCGAGTACTTACTTTATTTAGCGTACAATGCAATATAGAGCGTTTGTCAAGGAAGGCGCCAGAATCACGCATTACTTGCCTTTGTTCGTGCTTTCTTGTTTTGCTTAGTTTAGCGTCATTCAGTCTTATATTGTGTGCTCCTTGTGTTGTTTTTTTATATTAGGTTTTATTGTGAATTTTGTGTATCTTGGCCTGGTTTGTTATTTTTTTTGGTAGTTCAGCGCAGTTCTGCGTCTGTTTGATTCTTGGGTAGATTCAATTGGATCAATTCGTTTGCTTTGGTAGTTGAAATAAATAAGCCGCATAAAGACACCACAGTCAGCTGATAGAGCTTTTGTTTACATTCAGAGTGCATTTTCACACTCCCTTTCCTTTTTCAACTATTTTTCTTTCTGATAAAACAGCGCCATCCCAGCTCCTCTCTATGGCAAAATTTGGAGTTTCATTTTCTGGCGGCGGTACTCGGTCAGCGGCGTTCTGCTCAGGGGTATTACGCAGATTGCTACAGAAGGAAGTACAAATAGATTACCTGAGCTGTGTATCAGGGGGTGGTTGCTCAGGCTCCGCCTACGTGGACTGGAAATACAGACATGGAAAGAAAGACAACAAGAAGTGGCATCAGGAGTATTTTAACCATTTGAGAGAAAATGCCGGCTTGGTGTGCAACTTTCAAAAGCCATGCCGTGGATTTGCGGAGTTTGTGGTCATTTGTGCCATGATATTATTTGTATCTGTCATAGCTCCTTTCATTCTTTGGGGTTCATACGCCTATCCGTTGGCCTTCGTCATCGATTATGTGTTTGGCGATGTTCTCAGGGGCGGCACACGTTCGTGTCAGGAAGTTGCAAGCGAAAGCCCGAACATAACATTCGAAGACTGCGAGGAGAGCCGTCAAACGCCATACATTATGAATCGCCGTTTTGCTCTATTTGCCGCACCCCTCGTCTTTGCTTTCATATGCTTCGTCCTGAAAGGTTATGTCCGTAAAGGAAAACGGCTTCTCCATTGGCTTTTGCTTTTAAGTGCATCGCTCTTTGGAGTCTTATTTTTTCCATGGTTTTTGTATTTCTCTCTTCGTTTCCTACCAGACTGGATGAAAATAGTTCTTGTTCTACCAATTCTCTTTATTTGGATTTCATTCCCTCTCGCGCGCAGAAATGCTACCCTGATGATTGTTATTTATCTGTACTCGTTCACAACTCACAGCAGAATATATCGCATGAGTGTCTTTGGAGTCATCTACACTAAGAACACCTTCAATTATCTACTAAGTGTATCAGTCATATTACTGTGGATTGGTCCTCTGATTGAAGCCATTCAACGAAGTCTCCCCCACATTTGTGTCAGGTAAAAATGAACATAAAGCTCAAAGAGAGTTTAGAACTTAGAGTATATTTTTCTCACTAGGGATCCAATAGGACTTTTGATCAATTTTGTAACTAGTTATTTTATTTATTAATTTGCTTTTAGTTTTTCCATTGTTTTATTCCATACGTTTTTGAACAATTGCAATTAGTATATACCACACGGGTTAATAGCGCTATTCGCGCGCGCTCATTGGCTAATTCGGAAGTGAATTCACCTCCACTTCGGTAAATAATTTTTTAGTGGCTGGGAGGAGTAAATGGTAACAGGAATTAAGAACAGTACTGTAGTAGTAGTGATCTTAATTGAGGATACTAAACGTCACAAGAGACGCACGCATTACAGATGGGACCTCAATTACAGATATTAATCAAAGGAAAGTAACTGTAAAGAGCTTAAAAATACAAACAAATACACACACACACAAAATGTAGAAACATCCGAGAAAAGTCATGAATAACTACAGTCGGACCGCCCTTTATGACCACCTCTCGTAAGCGACCTCTTCTCATAGACGATGCTTGTTTATAATTTCAAAGGTTTTTAACGTCCCGTAGGCGACCGCTTTATAGACAATCGGCTTTATCTCTCACGAGCGAAAACTGAAAATTGTTTCAACAGATGTCGTAAAAATGGAGCTACCGGAAGTGTTTCCCCAAATACAAAAAAGTCACCCGTCATATGAACCCCCTGTGGACTGACCTCTGGTATAAACGACCACCTCCCGTAAGCAACCAACCGCACTTGACATTTCGGGTGGTCGCTTACGGGAGGTTCGACTGTAAATAAGTTAAGACAGGCCAAGGTTAAATGCACTTAGTGACTCTGTTTCCTCTTTGAAATACTTAGTAGAGAGGAGCAGGTTGATATGGGGGAAGTCACCTTTGAAAAAGAGTTCAAAAAAAGGCGTGTAGAGTAGATGGAGGATTTTGCAAATTGAGTGTACCGCAGTTGTTTCGTGAATAACCTCGATGTTTTTTCTTTTCTTTTCTTTTCTTTTTTTTTTGTCTTGATACATTTTTTTTCAAGATGGATTATCCAAAAGGGATTCTACTATCCTCAGACCGTTGGTGAATATGGTTGCAGTGGAATCTCTTGGCGTGACCTCATCCTTTTTTGGCCGGCTTCCAAGAATTCCAGAGTCCAGCACGTAACCTCTAAGCAAGCGTTGACCTTAGATGATGTGGATGACTTCTCACCTATCTACATCGCTTGCACTACCGTCAACAGATGGCGACGCACTTCCTCCCCCGGCGAACCTCATTATGAAGTCCTTACCATGTCCCCACACGGTATCGAACGGCTCGATCGCTGTTCTGACGAGCAAGAGCTTCACGGCAAGCTATTGGCCGAAGATGTATACCTGTCTGATGCTGCGGCAACTTCGAACGCTGCGGTCAGCTATGATATGGGAGTACAGCAATGTGATGAGGCACCCTCTCGGGATTTAAAGGTCATGTTGGGACTCTCCGCCGGAGCGTATATTGTGGCTGATCAGAGGCATGAGACCAAACGTCATTTCTGCGTTCAGGTGATGGATAAGGAAATACAGTTACATTGCAGCGGATAATCCCTCACGAAAAAAAATTATTGAGGGAACATTTCATGAAAAGTGATTGATTGTTTGCTTGATTGATGTAGCTAAGTTTTATGACATGCTAAATTACTCAGCCTACGTGTAGCCGTACCCTCCCCCACAAAGTGAAACGAGGGCGAGCTTCCGTCTCACCTTAGCGGGGAAGGGTAGGGCTACACGTAGGCTAAATTACGCACGTATTTGATTGGATTTCACTAGTGATTTATTTGAGGAAAGGCGCATAGAAAACGTCTCCATGAACAACATTTCGTTTTTTTTTTCAAAGTTTTATAAAATCAATCCTATGTTGCCATAGTTCTGTACAGTAATAGGTCACAGAAGATGCCAAAGATGATAACAACATAGGCTGCACTTCGTGTTCCACTTTTTTTTTGTTCTTACCACACTTTGACGTCATCTGTGATCAATTTCAGGACAGACACACAGCAACATGCAGTCTATTCGTTACATGATAGAGAATCCCATGATAACAGTTGACAGTCTGTATCGTTATTGCTTCTCCTAGCCTTAACCAAGTTTGTAATTACAATACCGGCAGCATGCCGCGTAAAGTGAAATCATAATTCAACCATCCATTTGTTTTTTCGCTCGCTTTACATACATTAATCAAGCATTAGACAGCACTTTCTATTGATTTACAGGCGGGATAACCTACGTGGGATGTTGGCGGAACGCGTGAAGCATCTCGCGTGGGTTATTGCACCGATAAACCAGTAAGAAGTGCGGTCTAATGTTTCTAGGAAATATGTACTAAATATTTTTCAAATTTTTATGACTTTTTCGGTGCAATACAGATAGATTATTGACCAATCAGGTCGCTCGTACTATCTCGGTTATTTCATAATCTCTACTCTCACATATTTCATTCCAGTATCTTCCTCTTCTGATTGAGTTAATCCGATTGGTTCCTTTGGCTCTCATTCTCTTCCTGTACGCCAGGACTAATAATGAAATCGTCTTGGTTGCTGGGATGTTGATTCATCTTGGTATCTGCCTAATATTTTCCTTATTTGCGCTGGTACCAACTGGAGGAAAATATCTCGGGAGACTGGAACGACTTGCCAGGTAACCGCTTGCTTAACCGTTTAACTCCTTAGAGTGATTGGCATCTAATTTCTCTCTACATTATCTCCACTGAATTAAACACTGAGGTCGCGAGAATAAAGGAAATGATCGCCATTTAGAGAAGATCTTGATAGGGGATCAAATTCTCCATGTCAGCAGCTTGAAAAGTTTATAGAGGAACAGTTTGGGAGAATATTGATAGGGATGCAAGGGGTTTAGATTACATACAAAGTATCGGTGGGTGGACACAGTAACTCAAATCAGAAGAGGAAGTGTGTAACTGGAGTCACGCGTAATGGTGTTCATCATTTTATTTAGAAATATCAACACGCCTACAGTACTAAACATGAGAGGAGAGTACATATTAGAGGACGAAAATCACAATGAGGTAAAATATTTACCTCAACGGTACCTAGCTTTACCAACGAAAAACGAAAAGTGATTGTGTATATTTATTCGCTTTCCCACTTGGGGTTGTTCTATTTCTCGATTTCTTTATTTATCTTATTTTATTTGACAGATGGTTCACGATCAACGTTTCTTCCGTACACTACTATCGTTTGATGATGGATATGACCAACGTAGGACCCAATCCTCCACCCGTTTTATCCTTGAGTGACGGCGGCCATCTTGAAAATCTTGGTATTCTACCCTTATTGAAGCTGAGACTCGAAAAGATCGTGGTAGTGGACGGAGGACGCTCTATTTTAGACAAGGACTACGGAAAATCCTTGATGATTGCTCTGGATTTGGCCAGGAAAAAGTTAGGATGCTCATTCTCAGCTGTAGATGGACGAGATATTGCCGAGGATATTCGGGATAACTTCGTGGAGAGGAGCCCTAGGTCACAGCCAAGTAACTACAGGTACGTTATGTAAAGTAAGATTTGCTACCCCCGCTGCTTTGTTCGCTCCTGAGAAATCGCATTCAGTTTGTCCAACATGTGTTACACCAAGTTCTTCCCGTAAAATATGGGTTTCAGTTTGCAGTAACCCTACAACCACCAGAGGTGCTCGACACTCAACTTTCCTTGAAATGTTACGCATCATTCAGCGACGAGCCTAGCATTGAGAAAACTATCCTCGGATTGGCGAGATGTACTTAATTTAACCTTCAAAATTTTTTGACGAGTATTTTTCTGGGTGAGTAAGATCATACCTTTTTCCAACAGAGGAAACCAAGGAAATGATGGAAATGTTTCATGGAGGAGAAAGTCTTCCTCAAGGGCAGAATTTTATATTCAATATTACATTCCTAATTTTCTACACAGCGATTGAATGATAGGCGTAAATTACTGAATAGCAAATGATTGATGGGGTTTCAGAGAGTAAGCTTAAAAAATGTTTTTTTTTTTTTATGATTCATCATGATAATTTATTGAAAAAGCAGAATTTATCTGTACACTCTTTCTGGCCCAACCTACGCGCAATCAACTTTATAAAAAAGGTAAAATACTTGCTGCCTTGAACAACCGCGGGGGCTCGCGGACGGCTAGGCGGCCAGTTGAGGCAAATTGCAAGTCGGTAATTTTTAAGGGTTAGGTAATAAGTGGCTAGAAATGCATTCTATAGACAGCTGTTGCCCTACTTGATTATATTTGTTCTTTATTTTTGTCAGATTTAAGGTACATTATTATGATAAGAACGTTAACAGCGACGGGAAGACTAAAGTTGGCGAAGGGGATATCCTATACATAGTTCCCAGGCATCCTGACAAAGCAGTGAAAACTTCGTCTTATGTGACCTGGAAGGAAGCGTTGCGTGACACGGATGGAGATCTGGAGGCTGGTCTTTGGGGGCCTGGTCCCGAGCTGTCATCGGAAGAGGCCAATCAATTGACATTCTGTTGCTGTGAATGTTGCCATGGGAATATATGTCGCAGCTTGTCTGAGGCGTTATGTGGGATGTTCCCACATCACTCTACTAACCATCAGTTCTTTACACCAACAATGTTCACTGCTTACCATAGGGAGGGTTATCGCGCTGGCATGGAGGCGAAAGTAGCTGAGTTTGTGCCTAATAGGCATGAACCTTCCACTTCAGAGACTATCTTAATATGAATATTGATGAATAACGTGTAAACTTCTTGTAGGTTGAGAATTAACTCTTTCTTTATGACTAAGTAACCTACATGTGTAACCAAATTAAATAGGATGTCGAACAATAAATCGACTAAAACACCATTACTATAGAACTTGAGTCTACATTGGTGTTCTCCTTTTTGCATAATGACATGCAATGGTTCTGCTATAATTACATTTTTATGAAACTAAAATAATAGTGTAAAAATAATTACAGTCAAAGTCATCAAATCCTGGTTGTAAGGTCTCGATGAAACCATAGCAACACTGAATTTTATTTTTTGCACTCGTGTTTTGCATCCTAGTCTCAAATTTAAGGGTCTGGCGACGACTTTACTCCACGTGTAGAGCTAGGGCCTGCCCCATGAGTCGGTCTGTCATTGGAGCGTTTTCTTTCATAGCCTTTCTCTCTGTTAATAAGCTCCTGAAAGAAGACAATACATATATTCTTAAGGGTTGATTTCGCAGGCTTTTCTCGGAAAAATAGCATTTATTTTACAGGCCTTTTTAGATGTTTGGTAGTTACACAACCAATCGGTGAACAAAGGTGAGCAGCAAAAGATACAGATTAAAAATAATATGTATTGCTTTGTTTGTTTTGAGATGAAAAAGGACACATATTTAGTTGACACATCCTGTTTGAACTCTGCCACAGTCCAAATCATTGACAAGACCCCCTTCCCTATTCAATGTTGCCTGTATGTAACTTAAGATTCATGGAATCACGATACAACATTGTTTTTTTTCGGTGGGGGGGGAAGGGATGCGAATAGGTTGACTTAACAAGGGCAAAAGAGATAATATGGAATTAATAAGAGGCTGAAAAGGTCAATGTTTAAACAGCTTTGGCGCCGAATGTAGGTTGTATTTAGCCTAAGTGCCGCAACAGTGAAGCAACGCTTGACGCTTTGTTAACAAAAAAACTCACTTTTCCGAAGGCTCAGCCCAAGCAATGCTAAACAGTATTCAGATAAATTCGGTTACATTTCACGCATAAGATGAAACTCTAAGGTGATAAGAGAAGACAGGGATTCGAATAAATGAAACTATACTTTACCTCGCCAAGTAATGATGCTCTTTACGTGAAGAATGTAGAGCAGCGTAAATTAGGAATAAGCTGAAGATGTCCCGCTGTAGGTAAAACGAAAGAAGCAGGACGAGATCTCACAAAAAGTTGCACTCATATGCGTGAATTTTCAATAAAATTCACAAACCTGTGCATTACTGCCTCCAATGGTGACTACATCATAACGGAGCGGTTTTAAAATGTCCACAGCTTTGTCGAAGTTTCCCTTTCACATAGAAAAAAAATTAAACTTGTTGTCCTAGATCAGCTTTTTGTGTGTGTTGACCTGTTAATTTCCTTGTTTGTTTTCAAATTTTATAAGTTTACCTCGGAGGTTATCAATAGCAAGAGATTGAACAGTTTGAATTCTAAAATCCAACGATGAGATGCGGCTCCAAACTATTCCATAACTAACACTCCCCCGTCCCCTTCGCAACAACAACAAAAACAACAATATCAATAGGGAAAAGTGAAGCAACATCGATGCAATCAAGGTCAATTTTCATCACTTCACTGATGACTTCTCAACCTAACAGCAAAACCGAGCAAACAGTGTCAACGACATAAGACTTGATCGTAGTTATGGAAGGAAGAACTCCTTTTCACTTAACTTAATTAATTGATCCAGTCAAAAGTTTGATAAGTTTTAAGGGAGACGAAGCTGGGAGACCACAAAGGAGACGAATTTACCTTGTCGGCTTGTTCAAAAGCTTCACAGAGGGCCAGACCAACCCCCCTAGACACTTCGCAATTTGTTCCTGAGCCATCCCTAGAGAAAAAAGGAAGAAAACAACACAAAACATAAACAACATAAAAAGAGACATCATATGGCTGAGCCATAATTATGATCGATTCAAAGTCTTAAGGACAGTATCGTTCAAATATCGCCGAGATATCGCGATTATCGTTTCCATTACTTTCGCACAGTACTGCATAACACGAGTCATGAGTAACAAAACTAATGAAACGTAACTCAGTGTCTGATGCCAACGTTTACGTAACCTGCAGAGCAAGCGTAATTGTGGCAACATTGGGCTCATTACTTCCTTGGAGAAAATTTTAGCTGCCACCTTTGATTTTTACGGCAGCAGAAGGTTTGGGAGGGAAAGAAATTTGTACAAAGTGACCCTTTCAATTAAAAATAGTCAATTGAGATAATTTTCACGAGCACCTATTGGAAAACCAAGCCTCTTTTCGGGAAATTGAACACGAAATTCCTGCTCACTTGCAACAATTTCTTCTGGGATAGTGCTCGGTGAAGGAGCCTGACGTTACCGTTACTGTTATAAATATAAAATTAAGCTCTACGTGTATTTTAGAAGAAATGAGTCCTGTAAATAAATCAGAACGCAGCAAATCTATCGACTATTGAAAGATAACTAGACCCTCCACTATTGACAAAGAAGATTGATCTGAGTGTTTTACCATAATTCTTCCATATTACCTTACATAGTCTCTAAGTGACATCATTAGATTCAGTGTAGCATCTTCCTTCTTAGCCCCCAGAGAACACATTAACATATGAACATCATTGAAAGCCTGAGATAGAAAAATAATTAAAAAAAAAAAAGAAAATGAAGGACATGTGTTGGTATATTGGTCACCGACCTAAACTTTGGGTGAGAAGAAGTCCGGGTGAAAGCAATGGCAGGTACTATTCCTTGTTCAAGACCAGCAACGAGTATAGAGCCCTTTGCGATTGAATATTGTGAAAATAATCACAAAGTAATCACAAAAGCCAATCAGCGGAAAGAAAAATACCACAAGGAGCCAATGGAAACTGAAAATAAAGCAAACTGCCTGAAGCGCGGGCCCCGTTTGAAACGCTGGTGATTAGTTCAAGGTTTGCATCTGATTGGTTAAAAACGTAGCGCAAAATGCCTGAAGCGCGGGAAAACGCTGGTGACCAGGTCGTGATTAGTTCAAGGTTCGCATCTGATTGGTGTAAAACGTGGCGCGGGTTTTCTGGTCCAATCACACAATAAAGTTCACCAACCCTAACTGACAAAGCAATGGTTGACTAGTTTTGAAACGCAATTGGAGACTGTCTCTTCCGCCGGATTGTCCATATGCTGGGAGTTCCAAGAGACGAACATCATCTTTTTGGGATTAAAACGCTGTCACTTTCATTTTCTGTGAACGCTTTATCACACCACCCCACTGGAATTGGCAATTTGCAAGGTTTGTTCACATCGCACTGCACACTTGCGACTGTCCTCCAATCTCTAATAAAGCCAATCTCTAATAAAATAATCTCATAATACCTTGTATGCAAAACCTGCTCGCAAAGCATGACACATACCAAAATATGATCATCTGTGTGTGACTCCCACAAATGAAACAGCTCTCTCCACCGATCATTTACATTAACACCTTAAAAAAAACAAAACAAAACAAGAAGAAAATAGATCAAGTCGTTAATTCGACCACGGCAAAATTTTCATTATACAATAATTCCAGTACAGAGATTTATTACTTAAATTATTTGCCTTGATTGACAGAGTTATAAATTGTGTGAATAATTAATTTGGTTCATTTGTTGATTAATTGACTGAATGGTTAAATAATTAATCAAATGACTGCCAAATGAATAGATGGACCGATTGTTCGTTGATTAATTGATAAAGTGTTCAATAGATCGAACGATTGAAGGATCCATTATTAATAATGATGTGCACTACATATCAGCGCGTTATCTCACAACCTTCCATCTGAAGTCTGTACAGCAGTGAAGAGGCGTCCACTAAGTCAAGCATGGCGCCAGAATGACAACGTTTTCCAACCTTGGAGCGAGAGAGAAAAGCGTGATAGTTATCTTTTAAATAAAACCTTAACGAGAGCACTGTGATATCCATGTATCATCTAGATGCGCAATACTGTGCTTCATATATGTACAGAGAAAGAAACGCTACTTTATTCTCCTAAGAACTGTGCGAATTAAATAAAAACAAAAATGATAAAAATGACTTTTTGATACTATTTTGACATGTATGTCGTGTATGTGTCAATCAGATATGGCCTAAAATTTTTCTTCGAAGATTTTATACTGTACCTCCTCGTCATAAATGTCCACTGCAGCTTGATGTTCTCCCTGGAAAAGAAAGAATGGTGTTTAATCGTAAACATGGCTGAAAAAAGAGAACCAGACAACTTTAGAAAAAGAGAAAAAAAACCTTTTCGATGTGATACAACGCCCAATGCCAGTAGTTATGACAGGCTAGCATAGCTCCCATCTACACAGGGTGAAAGAAGAAAGTAAGATTCATAGTTAAACTCTTGCCAACGACAAAGTAATATCATAAAAAGCAAGAAACTAAACCCTATCTAATGTACACCCCAAAAAAAAAAATTTCCTATAATTTTACCCTTGGTTTATCGAGCCAACGTTAGCACAAGGAGAACCGACTTGACTGATGCGGTGTAATTGCCGTACCAATCACGTTTGTCCTCCACATAGCAGCAAGTTCTCAGAAATTTCCATATGCGGCACTAATGTTAAGTAGAATTCATTGTATGCCTTACAGTCCAGTCATTTAATGTCGTGCTGAGGAATCTAATTCCTTCATTCTGACGCCCTTCCATTTCTATGACATGGGCCTCTGCATGTGTACTCCAGCAATCTCTTGGATTCAGTTCCAGACCCTAAGATAAAAATACCGTGAAAAAAATTAAATTGAATAAAAACAAAATATTATCGTCTGTGTGGCACAGAGGTTTCAATAAATTTCATTCCATACCCGCCTGTCGATGGTGTAAATAGGCGGCTATACCCCTACAAGGCCCATAATGACCCATTCCCTCCGGGGAATCTGCTCCCCCAGAGGAAAAAAATTGAAAGTTATAAGCACTCGTCAATATCGTTCCTGACCAGTCAAGATGCTGCGTTTGTTGATAAACAAAGGAAGTTCGAAAACCAATGGCAATAAGAGGCTCTCGTTACAAGACCTCTTTGCCGCTCGTAACTCAATTGAGTAAAAGCTAGACGCGAAAACCAAACACAAGAGCCTGCTCACAGGCTCAACAGGCGGCAGTAACAAGCCTTCAGGCGGTGGTAAAACACCGGTAGCCTGCTTTTATTATCAAGATATAATCACGTCAGTTGTGGATCGCCGCGTTTAGACTGCATACATGTAGACCTCTTCAAGCAGAGAACCAAACTATAACATTGAAGTATCACACGAAGCCTGGGTCTGCTACCCAGCCACGATCTATACTATCACTCAGATATAAATTAACTTCGCAGACGCATTTCATACGCTCAGATACACGGTAGTCAGACGCGCATATACGATTTTCATGCAAGCACGGACAAAAAAAATGCGCGACTTATGTGCCTTTGTTATTCAGTGCTATAAGTTTCATTTGTGTTACATTGATGTGTAGAATAATGAACTCTTAGGTTCGACACGTCAGACAGCCACACCAATGATACATGTCTCAAATGCTGCTGACTCTGTTATCTAAAACGTTTAAGAGCTTAGCAGTTACAAACTTGCTATCAAGAAAGTTTTAAAGCTAACCTTAAGTGCATGTCTCTCTGCCTGTTTGTAGAATCCTGTCTCTAGCAGGCCAAATGCGTACATTCCGTGAAGATATCTACAGTTGAAAGAAGAGTAAATCCACGTTTTATCAAAACAACAATTGTCAATACAAACTTTTATCTACAAGTATGCGTGTAAAAATGGTCAATATGTTCTTGGCGTTAAGCTTTATAACCGTTTGAGTTACACAGTAATTGTATTTGAGGAAATAAATAACGATGAAAAAAATGAGACGGAGATGTACATGTACTCTAACGACACACAGTTGCGTGTTTTGTGCATGAAATCATTCCTTTTTTGGATGAATATTATTACATTACAATGATAATTGTAAAATAAAATGAAAATTCTGTAAACTCATATTACTATTTTTAAATCAAACACTCACAGAGCTTACAAGAGTTACTTCTGATTCGATTATTTCATCTTTATCAGCTCACCCATAGAGTGGCATGTTTTCCTTCCATTTCGGCATCACCCGTGCAATGGAATCTCTGATCTGAGGTTGGTATCCAAGGTAGAAGTAAGAGTCGTGAGCCATTTTCAAAGCGAGCATGTCGGTTGGGTTCTCCACTAATACATCTTCCCATGTTAGACATGCTTGTGCAGTGTTTCTAAAGAAATGAGAAAAAGTAAATCGTCAGTATACTAAGTAATTGCTTACAGTGCGGTCTATAACGGGGTACCTCTTATAGGAAAAGCCTATAGGAGTTGAAGGAAAAGCCTTGACAAGAATTCATCTCAGGCATATTCAAACTTTCGTAACAGGCCTTCATTGCTGTCCTCGTCGTTTCTGAATAATTCAAAGACTTTTGAAATTGATATCAACATAGCTTCCAGGTTATATACTTATGTACTTGTAACTTGTTTACAGCTTCTGCTTTGCTAACTAATAAACAAGACATCAAATGCATTCCCCTGCTTCCCTGTCTTTGAAGGCACTGCACTACAAGTGGCTGAGGGACAAGAGACACACTGGCAAAACCTAGATGGTTGAAGAGGCTGATCTCACCACATCCCCTTGTTTTCCTCCTAATGTTTTGTTTCTTGTGGTGCACTGCCTATAACAACCCTGGTCACAACTTAAGTTTTGTGATAAACTATTGTGCAAAATAAAAATTCTGTAACCAGCTTCAGGGAAAGTGGACAATATATGTTTAGTCATTCTGTTGGTTAGATGTGTCTCAAAGAAAATAAAATACTAGTTTAAATAAAGGTAAAAATGCTGCCTCAGTGGTTGAAATAACAACACTCACCCTTCAGCCCATTCTTTCACTGCCTTGACATGCAGTCTCTCTCTGTTTGTGATGTTACTTTTGGCAGCTAACCCTTCAAGGGACAGAATGCTGTTCTTCAGTTCTTCATCTGTGTGAATTCCTTTACCTGATGAGATCAGGTATAAGCCACAAGAGATCACATGACCCATCACTGAAACAAAAACAGATGATGTCTGTTAAATGGGGCACTCCACAAAAATAATATTGTAATAATCTTTCAGAATGAAGGTTTGGTTAGTTGGTCATTGTGATAAGCCAGATTCTCCAGTTTTCTTCGACTGAGCCACAGACTCTCTCTCTCTGATGACTAAGGCAATTTCTAGGTTCAGATATAACATCTATCTAGCATACCGCTAGAGTTAAGATAGTCGGATCATTATCAGTATCTGGGCAACTGCCCACCTACCCCTCCCCTAACCCAACATTAATCCTAACTTGTCATCAATTGACTGTCGTTGGGTTAGGGGAGGGGTAGGTGGGCAGTTGCCCAGATACTGATATTGATCCAGATAGTCAATGTCAAGAGTGCCTATTGTGTACATAAAGGGGGTACGTTTCTAAAGAAACTGTGGTGCTGTGTCAGTGGGAGTGCTGATGAAGGCTAATGCTAATTTACATTATCAACTCAGTTGATAACAATAAATGACCCTATTGTGTACAAAACAGAATAAGAAAGATCTTCAATCACAAATATGCTACCTTCTTCTCTAATTGTTGACACAAAAGTCAGTCACCACAGGGTATTCCTAAATCACCCAATCACTAATATGGTAATAAAGCACAAAAGCTCCTCAAATGTTTGTACTGTAACAACTGTTGTTGTTTGTGAAGGAATAGTGACTAATTGGCCTTTAGCAATCATTTAATAACAGGAACTAAGAGAAGTGCAGAGACTTCCCTAAAATGGCAAGGAAGATCCAGGGAATAACAAGTTCTATTATAATTTTAATTTAAGATGTTGAAGAGAAAAATTCTCACCAAAGTTAGGATCAGTTGCTAACATCTTTGAAACAGAACCCTCAATTCCATCAACACTGCTATCATCATACCATCCTGTGTACTAAAAACAAAACAACAAAACAGAAGAAATTTTCTACCCATGAAGACATTAGTTGTCAGTATGCTTTACACATGTTTCAAGAAAAAGCCTCACAGAAATTATGGCACTACAAAGTCATATTAAGGGATTCTATGCACTATAATTTGCAGTGATGACAGTACATTACTAGTCTGATTCTCATATGACCCAAAGTCACTTGCCTCTACTGTCATACCCAAGGTATAACCCATACTCATTCTTCCAGAGTCCACTCAATTAATGATTATACCTAGAACATGCTACAGGAGACATGACCCTTAACCCTTCAACTCCCAGAGGTGATTAACAAGTAACCTCTCCTAGTAATATCTTAACATTATCCAGCAAACAGGTCATAAGAATATTCAAACTTATCAGGTTGAAGTTTTTATGTTGATCTGACACCAAATTCTCCTAACTTATTTACAAGGAAATGTGTTCCAGCTAGAGGGAGAATTAACAATCAGGTCTTGGGTTCTTAAAGGGTTAAAGTGCCTGGGCAGTAACAAATTGCACCTCTTCCAAAAACATGTCATTATAGCCCATTTAATGGATATCAGAAATACAGCCATAAAAACTGATTTAAATTTGTGACTAGTAACAAAAAAAAAAAAAGAAAAAAAAGGAAAAAAGATGCAAATATTTTCACAAAGATTTTCAATGTCGTACCTATCAATTTAGGTAAATACACTTAACCCCCCATTAATATTAATCTGAGTTTTTGGTGTTCATATAAAAAAAATTATATCCTAATATACTGTAATTGTGTTATAATTACTAATTTCATTTTTTAAAAATTTTCTAGTTCTGTCAAGATACTCATGATTGTAAACCGCCCCCAAAAAAGTAAGTTAACTAACTTAAACCAACCTGTGTTAAGGTAGCATCAAACATTTTTGCTGCCTCATTGCTAGTTGTTGTTAGTGACAATCCTTCACTTCTCCAAGCCTACAGGTATGGGAACAGACAATCAATGATTTGCTCCAAACTAATCCTCATTAAAACTCACAGCTCAAATCCTCCTAATTCTTCTTCAGAACAAACACTGGCATGTTTTGAATTGTCTTCTCATCAGCCACTCAACAAATTAAACTCTGTTCTGACTGGCTGTCATCATCACTTTGACTTCCATTTTACAACACTCAATGAAAATGCTGTACCAATAGCAATTAGCATATACCACACTAGTGAATAGTGCTTTTCCCACACTCTGATTGGCTAGTTTGGTTACTTCTCAACTCTGAGAAACCAATGAGGCAAAAGCGAGCATCAACAGTCTAATTTCCAACCATTTTTCAGTATATTAAAAGAAACAAATTAATTTGCTCTTTTTGTCTCCGAGCGCTCAATCTTTCGAAAGCAGAGCGTGTAATGCGCTGTTTTAAACACAATTTTCCTGACTTTTAACATAATTTCTGAATTTTTTTTTACCTCCTAAAGTTTTTAACATCAGAGAACCAGAGAAAATCCGGATAATCAATGTCCGGATAATCGAGGTTCGACTGTATGAACCTCCATTGACACTTTGATGCAAATTGTTAATTATGAGTATATTAATAGTGTAACTGAACTACAAAAAGCAATGATGCATCTTAATTAATATTTGTAAATCATTTTAAATTAGTTTATGTACTGAACAGTACCCTGTCTTTATCCATAAAATATACAAGGTGCTATCAAAATGATTAGGTAAGGCATTGGCCCAACAAATAGTCCAAAAATGCTAAATGCCTGGCACTACAAACCTAATTACAGGTACTCCATGCTAAGAGATTCTAAAAATCATGTCAGAGAACAAATTTTCCAAGATCGTGCACACGCAAAAAATCAAGAAATTTAACATTAGTGATTTCTAGGTAAGCCTCAGTTATAATAATCCTTTAACTGAAAGGAAACGGAAAAAAAATGGGATCTGTTGACATTTCTAGACCACTTGAAGCTATCGAGGAGTTTGAAAGAAGCTTTCAGTGAAAAGTGGACATCGTAATAAGCGCAGTGTAATGTAATTATTACTGAAACTGTGAAGTGTTAGATGTCACCATTTTTAGCCCAGCGGATACCGCTTTAAAAGCAAAAACAAGGAGAAAATTCGCTCAGGATTCCTAGGGGAGGTAAACGCTGAACCGGTAGTAGAAAAGCATTTAGTTCAGGCCTATCCATCTTCATTGTCAGTTTTCCCCCCAGAATCTTCAAACTAATGATAAACGATTTAGTACTCGCTCATAAAGCTTAGGGGAATTGTACATCATAGGACGATCGAAACGTTATTTATTTGAGGACAGCTGGCACACATAAACTGTAAGACCATCACTCTGCATTACGTTGACTTACTGTAGTCATTCGGTTATAAGGCGCACCGTTTTTTTCAAGAAATTCCTAATTTCTGCTAAAAATTACTGCCAAAGTTTGGGTGCGTCTTATAGGCGAATATTTTCCCGAAACAATTTTTTTTATCACAGTTACTGGTACGATTTCAAGCAAATAAAAGGACACACAGTGTTGGTCATTGACTTTTATAAATATGGTGGTTCTAAACAGACGAGCGAAGTCATATTTGCATAGATATGATACGTGCTCGAGAGCGCGTGCTTAGTAATTTGATACGTCACAAGACGAAACGAAAATAAACAAGCGAAGAGATAAATACCTTCTTCATCCATTCAGCCTTTTTTGTGCACTGAGACCTGCATTCTCGGCGGTACGTTAATTCTTGTTTAATCAAGGCTTTTGTTTGTGCGCATGGTTGCGTGTGCGACAATTCTGCTTTTGTTAATTAACGGTAAACTAAAATCAATACGCGACTTTTTCGCTTTTTTGTAAGTTTATGAAAGAATTTACAATAAACTTGACCGATCTTTACTCCCCGAAAAACGGTGCGCCTTATAACCAAGTATTTTAGCGATATTTTCAGTTTGAAAACATGCAATAATGAAGTTGCCGAATTGGGGGTGCGTCTTATAGCCGAGTGCACCTTATAACCGAATAACTACGGTAGTTTTTCTGCTAAAAGATCAAACCACGCGTTCTTTACTTACGTCAAGATCCCTCCAGTTACTATGCAAATAAGACATTTCGAGAAAAGAAAATCCAGTTTTTAGTTCGCACTGTTTCTATGTTAAGCCCGTGGACACGGAAAAACTGCGGCCCACTGTAACGAAGTCAGCGGTGCTTATTGGGAAACAAGAACAAAAATTTGAACCAGAAATCTGGAGTCGGAAAGCGTGAATTGAGGACAACGGAATATGCTCGCGGTGCTGCCTTTCTTTCTTTCTTTCTTTCTTTTTTTTTTTTTGCAATACTTTACCGATAACTACTTTGCACCTCATTCAATTTTTTCATTCGGCTGTAAACCTTTATTTTTCGTGAAAGGTTCCCTGTTGCTTACTCGGGATAATGGAACGCATCCAAAGCACAGAGAACATATTCATGAGGAGACATTACTACATACACATTGTGAAGTGCGTAGCTCGCTGGATTTGTGATTTTATACCATTAAGCCAGAAATGTTCGATAATGAATACAGCAATCCTATTCACAAACATCCCTGGCAAATAGGTCCACATCAGCTCAGCTGATTTTAATTTGATCCTATTGCAGATAAGTATGTATGC